TCTACAATAAACTGAAAATTGAATATTTTTCATGCATTTCCCAATTTGGAGCTTTTCTTAACACCGCAGCATAAAATCCCATTAAAAGTTATACAAGTTTGTGTTTATTTTAAAATATGAAATGTTCAGATATAGTGTTATAATCGATTATATTTTCATCTTAATCTGAACCTGACAGCCACTCGAGAGCACCTGCATGTGTCCAGCCTGACCCACTTATGTTCTGATGTGACCCTGCCCCCCTCCCTACTTGGGTCTCTAATTAACCCAACAGAAACTAATTAAATACAACACTAGTGGACCAGATGCCTGAGTAATAAAGAAAGAAAAAACAGGATGATAAAAGAGTGGAAACCTAAAAATCCAGCATAAGAAACTTGGGTTCAAGTCGGCTTTTGGTCCCAACTATGTTCCGACTTTTTCAGAACTCCTCACTGACCTTCTACCCCCTCACAGCTTTTGTCTTTCAAGGTATTTTGGGTTCTCGCTTGCATGCAAACATGCCTGCCAAAAAGCTGTAATCACAAGCACACCAGTCACATGATGCAACTGACACCCCGGAGATATTTGGAAAAGAGTAGAGACGCTATATGGAGAGAGACAAGAGTGGTGTATAATGAAAGTAGGAGGGAGAGGGGGGCAACACGAGGAGTACAGTGGTGGGGGGTGGGGGGGGGGGCATAGGATGGGTATGTGAGAAAGAAGATAGGTCTAAATAAATATAGGCTCAAAGCAGCCAAATGTCTCTGGCAAGACACTAGTGCTCTTAGTCCCAAGCAAGCACAGCTTTCTAAGTGATAGAGAAAGTAATTAAGAGAAGCCTGCTCAAGTAGATAGGCCTGTAAAGAAGATTTGAAGGGGAACTGATTGTGCATGTCTGATTCCAGCTCTTCAGTCAGTCTTCAGCCCCAAGGCTTAGCTTTAACAGAGCCACCTCTCTCCCATTCTATCGCTCCATCTCTTTCTTTGTGGTCATTCTTCAGAAACATATACAACTTTTATTTCCAACGAATATCCCCTTGCAGGTGTGGGAGAAAGATGTCAGTGTCATTTGAGAAATGTGTCAATCTTGACTTCCGTCTTTTAGCCTACATGAAGCGATGGGCGTTTGAGGCTGGAAAGTTCTCAGTTCATGAAATTATAGCAAGGCACCTCCAGGTGCACGGACCAGGACAAGACAGAACAACAAGAACTGCAGTCATGCTGCAATGAAACTGACTGCCAGGAGTGCTTACACAAAACAAAAAACAAATTTTTAAACTTTGGAAAACACATAAATTAACAAAGCGAGTTCATCTTTCCACAAACTCTGCCCAACCCCCCCTTAGATAAGTTATCTCCACAGCATGATGCTGCCACTGCCATGTTTCATCTCGACAGTGGTTTGTTCAGTGGTGCATACTGCTACAAAGATTTTGTCTTTTTAAATAGAAATCACCTTCTTACACATCTAAAAAAATATTGCAACCGCTTTTGGCATTTACTTAATCATATTTAGTTGCTTTAACACAATTATTATATGTCCTACCCTCCTAACATGAAACAATTGTGTTAAAATAACTGAATATAATTAAGTAAATGCAAAAATTGCAATTTTTTTCAGTGCATGTTTTTCCTCTGGCCCCTACAAAAGTCTTTCTTGTGTCTTTGCTTAGTCAATGGCTTTCCTGAAAAGGCCATATTTATTGAGGTTTTGAATCTGTGCTAAACCCCCAGAGTTACCAAGGGCATTGAGGCTGCTTCTCCTATTGAGGCTTACATCTTTTTTATGTTAAAACTTTTTTTTATAAATAAATGTTCCTTTAAATGTCTCACTGATATTATCCACTGTTGGTCTTTCACACATATGTAGTAAAATAAATATAGAAAATTAAAAGCTTTAAAAAACATTTCAAATACTTTTTTTTAATTAAGTTAATAATGTTTTTAAAAAAAAACTATTTCTTTGGGAAAACAGCCAAATGATGAGTTAGTGAAAGTTATGAGTGTTTCAGTTATATTAGGTACTACGGTTAGGTACACATTAGATGAGTTGGCAAACTAGACGTATTAGTGACCAGTATACTGGGGCCACCTGCTGGAGAAACTAGAGAAATTCAGCCCTGAAACTGCATCTACTTTGCGCCCTCTTGTGGTGAAGAGATGAACACCAGCAATCTCGACGATTTTCACTCTCCAGGTTAAACTCGCTGTAACTCTTAATCTCGGGTTTATTACTGTCATTAAAGAAATATTTGAGCTCATTGGATTGAAATTTTTAATGGAATAAACTTTTTTTAATATTTGGTCAATTTTGTATTTTTTTCCACTTTTTCTTTTACCCCTATCCTGGTTAAAGAAACTCAACTATATGTCTCCCCTTTTTTCTAAAAGTACAAACAAAAAAAGTAATAAACATAGCTTATGGTAATGTTATTTATAATTAATCTATCATAATATGTTGTTCTATTAGAAAAAACTATCCCTCTTGCTTTATATGCTCTGTGTTTTATTCCCTGTTATGTCTTTGCATTTAAAAACAAACTATGTTTGCATAAAAAAAATATATAATAATAAAACCCTTTGGAAAGCTTCATCTTTTAAATTTATTCAATACCAAAGTAAGTCACAATTCTCTGGTGAAACATTTTAGTCAAGACCAAAATAAGTCAAATAAGAATGAATTCTTGCACATATATTAAAAATAATAATAATAAATAAATAAATAATCTTAGAACTGTAAATATACACTCCTTTTTTTCAAATTACTTTTTTAAATGTATTTATTACTGTTTTCAAGACTTCACTTCAAAAAATTAAATTGTCTAGAGCTGTTTTAAACGAAATTTCTTTTTGTATACAGTCGTGTATACAAATTGAATAATACATATGTCTATATATGTAAATTTAATCAAAATTTAAATAATGGCTTTAAATATATGCTAATATGTATGAATGTCACCACTGTGGGAGAGTATTTCTATTTTATATTCTATTTTATTAAAATGCTGCCACAATATAATAAATACCAAATAAAATAAAATAAAACTCAGTAGGATTTGTATTAATTATATATGTTACAAATAAATGCTGATTATTTATGGCAGTCAATTAATACATTTTTCATTATTATGCAAGTGGTCTATTGTACAGCTTTTAAGTTAAAGGATCATAATTTAGCTTAGGAGGTTTAGATAATTTCATTATGGACTGTAACACAAAATAAAAGCAGCAATAAAATATAAAATTAGTCTATATATACGAATATATATATTACCATATTATATTAATAACAATAAATATAACTTTTAACCAAACAATATCCTATCTATTTCGTTTCTGAAACTTATTGTAGTCACTCTTATTTTTTAAACAAGCCATTAAAAACTACAACTCCCACAGCTCACCATACTGTCGTAAAACGTCATTTTGTGTTGCAATGGCGTTTGCGGCAGCAGGGAAATCGAGGGGAGAGCCAGAAGATAGCACTAAAGCGAGCTTGAAGACGAATATTAACAACAGAAGAAGAAGATAGTGTGACGGTTGTGGATGGTCGTTTGGTGCATGGCGCGTGTTTTGAAGCTGCTTATGGAGAAATGTCTTGGGCCGTGAGTAGTGAGGAAACAGGAAGCGATTCTTGTGGGATGGAAGAGGGAAATAGTGACAATGAAGGTTGGAAGATAGCAACATCAAAAAATGAGAAAAAGCGGAAAAAACAGAGATCAGTTCAAGGGGAATCTAGTTCAGAACAATCCAGTGATGATCATTCCATACATTCCACAGCACAACAAAATGAATTCAAAGTCATATTCAAAGTCGTTAATCAGGCAGACTCTTTTACAAATTGGAATCCGGTTCACTTAACAAAAACCATCAATAAACTTGTCGGAGAAGTCAGAGGTGCCAGAATTCTGTACAGTGGAGACCTGCTAATTATCTGCAGAGACAGCGCCCAGCAAGGCAAAGCAATACGGATCAACAAAATTGACGGGATAAGAGTTCAGTGCAGCTTAATGGAGAACAAAAAGTTCAGCAGGGGAGTCATTGGAGGAGTTCCTCTAAAAATTTCTGAAAAAGAGATTCTGGAAAACATAAGAGGTGCAAAAGTAAAAGAAGTAAAACGGTTAAAAACAACAAGAAACGGAGAAAGATCTGACAGTTTATCTGTGCTAATTAAATTCGAAGAAGAGCAATTACCAAGCAAAGTATTCATCGGTTACATAAGCTATAATGTCAAAATCTACAATCCTCCACCATTGAGATGTTTCAAATGCCAAAAATTCGGTCACATTGCAGCAGTTTGTAAAGGGAAACAGAGGTGTGGAAGGTGTGCAGGAGAACATGAGTACGGAAAATGTGGAAAAGAAGCTAAAATAAAATGCTGTAATTGTGGTGGAGAACATACTGCTGCCTATCGCGGCTGTGAAGCAAGCAAAAGGTCTGAGGAAATTAAAAAAATGAAATTTGAGCTCGGAATAACCTACGCTGAAGCTGCAAAAAGGATCCCATCTCAGTCAGAAAAACCCAAACCTACAGTTCAACACACAGCAAATTCCAAACCTCTAGAGAAATCTCTAAAAATTGATGAAGACTCACTTATTGTTAAAAAGACAAATTTTGTTCTTTTCATGGTAGAAGTTATTAATTGTACTGCACAGACAACAAAAAAAACGGAAAAAATCAAAATAATAGTGAAGGCTGCAGAAAAATATCTGGACATTAAAGATTTGAACTGGGAGATGGTTGGAAGTATGATGGGAGGACCGATGGGACCATCAGAAACTGGCAGAGTTAAGATGACCTAGAGTAAATTAAAATTATATGGGCAAATGTGATTTAGTATTATGTTGGTTTAAGTTACACAGGTTTTTTTTTTTTTTTTTTTTTTTTTTTTTTTTTTTGGGGGGGTGAATCGTTTCCTGTTTTCTTGCTTTACTCCATATCAGTTGGTGGCGGTAATGCACAATTCACAAGTCTGCCAACCGCCATAAAATCCCATAAGAAGAAGAAGAAGAATCGAGGGGAGAGCAGTGACAAACGTCGCCAACGGTCACGTTATCTCCTCTAAAGTGCTCGGATTTTTATAATATTCGGTCAACGGGCTCAGATATTGATCGTTTAATTCTTCTCTTGGTGGATGAGATTTTGTTGGACTTTTCCGAAGCGCGTCTCTCCACTTTAATGCGGTGGGATGGCCACAGTGCCGCCTGGGCCTAGTAACGCACTGCCTACATCCCCGGCTGAAGTTGCTCCTTTCTCCGGGGCAGGGAGAGCGGAGCCAGCGGTGGAAGCCGGAGAGCCCACCTACAGCGGGGAGGACTGCGGGCCCGCCGGTACGGGCAAGACGCAGCCAGTGAACGAGGTCAAAAGGTCGGCTAAGAAGAAGCATAAAAACATGCTAGCCCGGGCTAGCCCGGCGGCTCTCCACTTGAAAATGCAAGCCGGAGAGCAGCAGCAGCAGCTGAATGGCTTGGTCAGCTCCTCTGAGGACCTCGACGGCCACCAGCGTACAGGGAGCCGGCCTGACAATCTCAAACCGTCCGAGGACAACTGTGACAGCAGCTGTTGCAGCGAGGCTGCGGCCGACAGGAACAGGACGGAGCACTGCCAGCACGAAGGCCACAGCCCCTTCTCCAAAAACGGCAGCCACTCTCCTGTGACTAACAGCAGCGTTAACGGGATGCCGGCGACCCACGAAGCCGAGGACCAGCGTGAGCACACTATGAGAGGATCGGAGGACAGCGACGGGCCCTGTGGAGGGGAGAGCCCCTCTGAGCTGCAGCCGCCGGCCGCCCAGCTGGCCCGGCTCGACCTGAGCGGCTCTCCCGGCAGAGCAGAGGACAGCCACGGCATCCGCTATGTCCGCTACGAGTCCGAGCTACAGATGCCCTGGATCATGAGACTCATCACCAAGGACTTATCAGAGCCTTATTCCATTTACACATACAGGTACTTCATCCATAACTGGCCGCAGCTTTGCTTTCTGGTGAGTACAACCCTGAAACCTTCATGTTTTTCCCTCAGTTTGTCTCATTAGAACAATCTCAGGCAAAAAAGCTGATTTATGCGAATCTCTACAGCAACCTAGCTGCTTTGCACCAAAATATTACATATTTATTAATACATTGATAGATTTGTAGAATTTGCTGTGGTTGACTCTGACCTTTCTGGTCTCCAAATAAGAGATCAGATAAAAAAAAAATCAACGTTGTTTTCCTTATTGTTCAATATATTAAATATTTCACTTTATTTTGCTTTTAATAAAATTCAAATAGAATGTGCTTCCCTGTGCTCTGATGGGTAAATGGGGATATTTTTGTAAATCCTTCATGTTCTGTTCTAACTACATGCACACTAGGACTGTTGCTGAAGGACTTTGCAAGAATGGGATGTTATAGTTACTATGGAAGAGGATTAGGGCCACTGAAAAAAAAAGTTAACTGATTTTTAAATTTTATTTCAGTATGATATGGGAAAAAAGTCAGAATTCGGACTTTAATCTCGGAATTCGGACTTTAATCTCAGAATTCTGGCTTTTTTACTCAGAATTCTGACTTCAAAAAAGGAAGAGATTTGGGAGCACTGAGCTTCACTGACAAAGATGTGAGTTGTTTGGAAGGAACAGTAACACATTGGTGGAAAATGATGGAATTAGGTGACTTTTTACCTGCCTGAGGGGTCCCAGATGATGCTATTACTTTAATGGAAGAGCAGAAGGTGATTAAAACATGTTAACATGTTGGTTAACATGATGGTTAGCTGTCATACTGTACTGAAAAAAAAAAAGTACTTTTTTTTTTTTTCAGTGGCCCTAATCATCTTCCGTAACTTTTCTTAGGATTTTGATATGTTGTCCAATTTCAGTGCTGTGCCTGACACAGATGATGGGGCCAAAAATATTAAACGACACAGTGAGTGTAGCTTACTTTCAATTAAGAGTCTTACTTTATCTTCCCCCTCCATCATATTTTTTTTACTCAATTTGATTTAGGGAGAGAAATTTAAAAAACATTACGTTTTTAATACTAGAGGAAAGTCAGGTAGTATTTTCCTCTAAAGTCCAGAGACTCCAGCTTCTGAACTTCCCATCTCCAGTGGGTCCGGTCTGCCACATGACCTACTGGAGGAAGTAAAATGAATGTCGGAAGGCAGTAGGTCTGACCGGATGACAGATCTTCTGACTTCCTGCAGTTCAGCCGGACTGACAGTTTTTTAGTGGAGCTAAGTGCAGAGTTTGTGTGTCTGTTACAGGCCATGGTGGAGCAGGAGTGCGTGGGAGCCATCGTTTGTAAGCTTGACATGCATAAGAAGATGTTTCGCCGCGGCTATATTGCCATGCTGGCCGTGGACTCAAAACACAGAAGGAAAAGTATTGGTGAGTGCCATTAAATGATCATTTACAGCAACGTAACCGCTTTAAAACTTTGTTTCAGCAGTTACAGCAGTTTTTACAGATTGTAAAATATTCCATGTTTTTAATACATTGATAGATTTGTAGAAGTTGCTGTGGTTAACTCTGACCTTTCTGATCTCCAAATATGAGGTCAGATAAAAAAAATCAAGATTTAAATCAGTGTTGTTTTTGTATCTTTTTTGTTTTTTGTACTTCACGAGTTTCTCCCTCATTTTGTTTCAGGTACTAATTTGGTAAAAAAGGCCATCTACGCCATGGTGGAGGGGGACTGTGACGAGGTAACCCATGTCAACCAGCTCAGCTTCATCTCTTCTCTTTCTTTATAAGCCCAATTGGGGAAAAACTCGAGCACAATTATTACATTTGTGTAAAGGTTAGCTAAAAAAATACATTTTGTAATATGATCTTTATTCAAATCTAATGATATAAGCTTCTACTAAGTCTCTGTGTCAAAACAGAAGGGGGGGACATTACTGTAAATTTTAGATCTAGCACAGTTTTTTCTTCTGTATTACTAAAAATCTATATAAAATTTGGGATTTTATATAGAATAGAAAACAAACTTTATGTTTCATATAAAATATTCTTGTAACTTTTTTGTGGTACATCTCTTTCCCTAGACCTGCTGTATATTTAAAGAATTTTATACATTTACAGACCATTTAGAGTTTTGGATCATTCTAACGGATGGATGGGCTTTAATCTAAATCCACCGTCATAATCCAAAGGGCCATTTCTTGCAGGTTTTTCTCCCTGAAAAAAATGTATCCAGAGCTGCAAAACCTAAATAATCTTTCAAAAAAACCTCAAATAAACCTCATATTTAGCAATCTAATTTAAAAGTCAAATGTTTCTTGTTTGAATGAGGTTCCAATGTGGAAGTTCTACCAACTGATTAAATTAGAAAATATTAAACAAATTATTAAATTTTCCTACTAAACTTCTTATTTCTATATACCGTGCCACAGGGAGGCAGGTGATTTTTTTTTTCAGAGCCACAGTTTGCAGACCCTGATCTAACCCCTTCCATAGTTAAGGATGGATGTGTAGGATCTTCATGCTTTTATTCCATCAGACAAGAGCGTTGTGTTTTACCGTAACATTCCAAGTTATTTCTAGAGCACTATAAAAACAACATGGAGGCTGACCAAAGTTCTGCACAAAAAAAATAAATCAAGCACAACATGGTGAATATACATAAACCCACTATGATAAAAGCAGAGGGAAAACAAGTACATTAAAACAAATGAAAATACTGACTGATGTTTTTAAAACTCTATTCTTAATGGCTTTTATCCCAAAAGATGGAGCCCGTCTGACCTCCAGTGGTGGTTTAACCCAAAACTTAGAGCCAGATCTGCAAAAGCTTTGGCTCAGATTTATAACAAGACTCATGTGGTCTGCAGATCTGAGAGTATGCACAGGTACGGGAGTGGAGCAGTTCAGATAAATAACTAGTTCCATTGCTTTTTGACTCTTCAGTGCAAATAAAATACATTTTAAATTGATTAAAAGTTTACTAAGGAGCCAGTGGAGGGATGCTAAAACTGTTATGTCATCATGTTTATATTTACCAGTTAAAAGCTGAGCAGCAGCCTTCTGCAACACCTGTAGCCATGAAAGATTAGCTTTGCTAACACCAAGCAAAAGAGAACTACAATAGTTGGGGCGTGAGGTGATAAAGGCATGGAATCCAAATTTAAGATGGCGTGAGAGGGTCTTAATCTTTGACAGCTGCCTCAACAGAAAAAAGGAGAACTTGATTAAACTATTTACACACCAAGTTTTAGGCCAGGGTCCATTTTTATATCCTTTCATAAGCCAGGTGTAGTTCAGTTTGAATTCTACACATCCATCTGGAAAGGCTCATGTGGCGTCTTTGGCAAATATAGGGGCATTCAGTACAATTCTTCAAGCTGATTGGGTAAATTCGAAGTTGCCTCCTGTGTCGAGCTTTTAGCCAATCGCAGTAGCAGTTTAACTGTATCACATTCTTGATTTGTTTCACAACTAGTGGAGTTGACTAATAAATAAAACTCTTACCTAATCTGGTCGGGAGGAATGTGCAAAGATCTCTCCCTTAAAGCTAAAAATCATGTCCTTTTGCTTGTTTTTCAAAAAGAAAGAGGGTATTCCGGCTGAAACTTCCACTGCAAAAATGTTAATCTAAGTACATTTTTCTTAAGTGCATTTTTTTTCTTGAATTGAGCAGGTAAGTGAGACACTCTGCCAGAGGAATAAGAAAATATAGACAGACAGACTGACTGACTGACAGACAAACATCTCACTTGCACTGGACAGTCTTGGACGTTTCAATACTTGGTTTTATTTGTTACACCCAGCACAGTATTTGACAGCAAAAAATCTGGAAACTCAGTAGATTTATCTTCCTTACTCCTACAGATCATGATCACACTTTTAGATGGATTGTACTTTATGTCGTGTTCCAGACCATACTCAGAGCAGATGTTTAGTAGTTGCTGTAACCCAGCAGTACTAGGGCTAAATATTACTAAATCATCTGCATACATCAGGTGATTAAGTACCGAGTCACCAGCCACACAACCAGTGTGACAAGCTCTCAACTTGTGTGACAGTTCATCCAGATACAAGTTAAAATATACATTTAAAAAAAAGAAAAAAACTACTGCAGTCTCGTATTTCAAGTGCATATTATCTGATTTATCTTATTGTAAAGGTAAACATGCTCCCTCCATTGGCAGATCATCTTATTTTCCTTCTAAAATTAAAGGTAAATATTTATTTTTAGACATTTTTACACATTTTCATAACGTTTTTGCAGGCAACAACTATGTTGTTTTTCTTTAACCTTCTACATCTGGTTGATGTCATACACGTCACTGCAAAGGACGTAGACGGAGTAGTTTCTGCTTGTTAGATCAGAAGCGTAGTTGTGTTGACTGATGTCACGTAATTTAGCGGGTCTGGTGTTCCCACAGCATATCGAATAGAGCTGAGGCGATTAACACATGTCGTTGCAGAGTCGTTTGATCCGAGTAGACATGTGTCAGTGAGCTGTTTCCTCTGCCATTACAAGGCGATTGTTCCTTGGTTTAAACAGGTTTTTCAGCCAGTGGGAAACGGGTATTAGAGGATGATGCATCTGATGGCTTCTGGCAAGATGTATTTTAGAGAGTTTGTGAATCGACAAATATCGCGACAGTTCATCTTACTTGCAAGGTAACCATTTTTTCTCCTAGATTAGAAACTCTAAGGCACCAAAGAGGAGAGATCCAAAGGAGGAACATTGTTTAGATTGCAGGAAATAAAAACAGAGACTTCCTTTTTGTCCCGTTTAAAACAAAGGAAATTTAGGTCCATCCATCTCCTGATACTGTCTAGATAGTCAAGTCTAGATTTTCTCTTTTTTACCTCTCTTCCATTTTTTATCATGAAAAATTTTGTAATATTGGTATCCTTTTTCTATTTTTCTTTTTTTGTGCATCCTCAGGTTGTCCTGGAGACAGAGATCACCAATAAATCCGCCCTGAAGCTGTACGAGAACTTGGGTTTTGTCAGAGACAAGCGGCTGTTCAGATACTACCTGAACGGAGTGGACGCGCTGCGGCTCAAACTGTGGCTCCGCTAGAGAGAAAGAAGCAGACGGGACTGAGGGGGAGGGAGGCGGGTCTCCAGGTGCTGTTCACCTCTAACACTAGGAGCTCAAGAGCCTGAGTTCTGCCCTTTGGTCATTTCCCACATTAACACAGCACACACACAAATGCACCCACACCCACCCACCCGTGTTCAGACACCTTCCTTTTCTCCTCAACGTCCAAAAACAACTTGGGTGGAAAAAGACTGAATTGCCAACAGCCGTGTTTTTATTTTTTACGAAGAGGGCGGCCTCGGAGGACGGAGCTGTCGCCTCAGCGCACTGTGACGTGACAGGGGCACCACACCAAATCATCCTGCAGAACCACGGACTAAACAGACCTGCAGGAAGCGACACGCAAAGGGACACGGGAAAGCAGGAAGCGCGGCTACAAAGAGCGACCGGGAGGAAAATATTTGTGAAGTTTATTTTTGGGTTGTTTTTTTTTTTTTAAAGCCTTGTTCGGTTGGGGAGGGTTAAAGATCTAGTCTGACTTGTGTGTTTGTACTGCCACATGATATATATTTTTTTTCAGGTGTGTGTGTTTTTGATTGTATGTGCTGCTGTTGGTTTCACTGAATTTTGGGTGACTGCTTGAATGCGCACTGTATGTATTATTTTTCTTGAGTTTGTTTTTCTTGTTCCGGGCGTGGCGCCCTGCTGCTGTCTCTCCCATCATCTGGACCAGAACCTGTAAATCACGCGTGCTTCTGTTTGTTTTTACTGTGAGAGCAGGAGGAGAAATCATCTCTCCTTCCTCCGTTTGGTCCAGAGCAGTTGTTCAAAGCAAATCAATCCACACCTCATCACCTCAAACCTGACCCAACTTAGGGATAAACCACCTTTATTTTTTTCCTCTTCGATGTCTATCACTATAACCAGCCATTTCAGGGTATGATTTACAAAGTTTATGCCCCCCCCCCCCCCCTAGATACACTGCCAGCCTCTGCAAAATCCCCCCAGAAGAGACTCTTTGCCAAGGATGGTGTGGTCCTATATGTCCAAGCTGTTTACTGATTGACATTAGCAGTCCCTTTCTCAAGTGCCACTCTGTCCATCCGGACTGACAGGAAATGGTTCTGCACTTCTGTTCCCGATGCTGGATTCCTGTTTGAGTATGCTGTGTGTATTTAAACTGTGGATAAAGGAAGGACAAAAGAAAAATAGAGTATTCTTAGATCATATTTTCTTTTTTTTTTATTAAGAATTTCACCACAGTACATTCGGGCATACGACACTCAACCCACCTCCAGAACCTTCAGAGTTCTCCAGTTCACACTAATTGGTGAAGAAATGCTTCAGCTGCTTATTTTTTTTTTCTTTTAAAGAAAAATGTCAGATAAACCTACTTTTTTAAATGGTTGCAGTGTTTATGAGTAAGAGTGCATCCTGCAACTTTAAAAGCAGTTTGGATCAGCTTGGTTCCAACAATCTGCATGACTAAATCAGCCTTCGCTGCTCGTTATGCCTCCAACTTACAGGATGCTGACATGTGGCTCTATTGGAAGAGTTTATTACCAAGTAGACATGGGCTGGTTACCACTTTCAGGCTTTTCTGTAATATAAAACCATAGTATTTTTAATTTAAAGTTATTTTCCTACTCTTTGAAATGCCTCTTTATGGCAGTGGTGGAGTCTTCCCCTGCTGTAAGGAGCATTGAGTAAATCCACCCTGCCTCTACTATGCCTATAACCGCTGAAGGAGGTTACTATGTTTTTATCAAAAATATACTTTAATAAACAAAAATTTGTTGGTAAGGTGGCTTTAAATCAAGCTTGTTGAACTATTGTGGCCTAAAATTTCAACTTGGAAAGTTGGAAGTCCACCATGCAACCCAGAGATGCCTATTTAATGTGGAGCCCTGTATAAAATAATGTAAATATAAGCATTACACCATGGCAGTCTGAGCTTTGTGAGGAACTACCCGATTGAGTTCTCCACTTCTCAGCTCCAGTAAAGGTTGCTTTTGTGTGTAACCTGTAAACGCTCTCTACCTGCTTTAAATAGCTGCTAAATCTATCCTGAACAGTTATCTTTACTGTTTTAACACAAAATAAGGCAAAATAGGCTGTATTGTCAATAGCACTAGAGCAATTGTCATTTCAACTCAAAATATATACATATAAGTATATATCTATGGGCATGTTGGTGCTTGAACGCAGAAAATGGATGAAAACAGATCGCCAACATGTGCTGCTAAATATAGTTAGCAGCATAGTAATATAGTAAGTAGAATCAACTTCTCATCCAGATCCAGGCTCTAACTACCAAGGCTGACTAAACGCACCACCTAATAGCAACTTGTTGTTCTGGTGTTACTCTGTAAATAGCAGAACAGCACAAATAGATCTGTAATATCTCGTTCAGCAGAAGTCCTTGGAAACAACTACTACATTTAACCGAAATTTATTTAGGTCTTTCTAGACTAAGCCTAAATATCCCAATTTAGAATTATAAAGATACCACTATGACTTATAATCCACATAATTTCCATGTTTTTTATAAATAACAGCAGATGGAAAAATTTTCTTTTAGGTTCAGAGTTGTTTATAAATGCAGCTGGTTTTACCAACTGTGGGAACCGGCCCATGTCTAATGAAACCAACATCAGTATTAATTAGAAACTTTCATGATGTTATGGCTGAGCACTTCTTTGACATCTACACTACATGCACCTGTCTACTTTTCATGGTTTATTCTAGATGAGATGGTTCTATAGGAGCCCAGAACAGAGCTGCCACCCTGTGTGTTTTTGAAGCCACTGATCGATCACCTGTTTTCTTTGATTCAGATTTGTATTTTGGTGGGGTTTTTTTTATTATGCGTGGGATTGGACAGCGTTTTGACTCGACTTTTTTTATTTTAATTTCTGTGCTAATCTTATCCTTTGAGTTCAGTGAAACTGATGAGCGAACAAAAGAACAATCTAGACCCTTTCTCCTTTTATTGTGACCTTCTGTAACCTCTGGGTTTATTCTGAAGGTTTGAATCCCCTGTCCCCTTGTTGGACCCCTCCCCTTCAGATAACTGATTAGAGCAAAGAAGATCATGTGGTCAACCTTTCTACGTCTTTCTGAGCCGTTGGTGTTTTTCTGAAGAAAATGATCAGTTTTCACAACCCTCAATTCTGTAACAATTGGAAACTTCTTTTGATTTGTTTTTAAGGGCATTAGAGCCAAACGCCTCCATCCAGGTCATGAACACAGACTGAAGGGCTTTGTCATCATCAGCTCATAGCCACAGCTTATGGCATTGCTTTAGTTTTATTAAATAACTTGTGCACATTAATGTGTTTTAAAGCGTCAGCCAGCCCAACAATTCCTGACTAAAAAAAGATGCGTCCCTCGGATTGTCAATGGCTCAACCAACCAGCCATGCAGAGGTTCCTGCAGCCTTTCAAAGATGGCCAGCACCGCCTCCCAATGAGACACATGCAGCAGGAAAAAAGGGGGGAAGAGCAAAACGTTTATTTTTGCATGTCTGTTTCCCCCCCCCCCCTGCTCCGCTCCCCCCCTCATGTCCTCCTCTTTTCTTCATTTTGATCTGGAAATGTCCAATAGCTTTTATTTAATGTGGAAAAAGAACACAGAAATAAATTATTTGATTTCTTTTTTTAATGCTGTAAAGCTGACTCGTCTTGTGTGCTGTCTGGAACAGGGATTAAACCATTACACACACAAACACTGCCGGTCAGCAGTTCATATGCTTGATATCAGCACAGGCCTGTCATTTGGAGCACTTTAAAATGAATTTGAACTGTTCTTTATTTTTGAAATGGACTCAAAATATAAATCCCAGGGTTAATGTTTTCTTTTAAAACAAAAATGAATGAAAGATATTCAAAGTTCAAATCTATACACATACCCATACTTGTATTTGGATAAATGCTCTTTACTAAGTTTCTACCTTCAGACTAAATCTTTGAACATTCTTCTGATCAGAACTGGTACAGCTTATTTAAATAGGTTGGTCATTTTTTATTTTTTTATTTTGTACTGAGGTCAGGGCTATGGGAAGATCATTTAGTAATCTCTCCAAAAAGGTTACCTGCCATGAACTGAATTCTTTAAATATGATTTCGTCAGATTTACTGTGGTCTGGGAGGAGGATACTTAACAAGAAAGAAACCTTTTCACAAAAAGCCGACTCCTTCAAGGATGACTGGAAGTTAGAAACCCAGGGGGCAGGTTATCTAAATCCTAAGAGCACTAGCCCCATGGTCAAGCACGGTGGTGGTATAGTGATACTGAGGGTATGTTTTCCTGTCATTGGCTAAACCTAGACATAATTCAATCTTTTATTAGGACAATTTTACACATAAAACCTGTTTTAGATTAAATGGATATGATGTTGAATCACTGACACGCTGGTAAAAGGTTCTTCAATGTAAATAAGCAGCTATAAATTAGAGAATTGACAACAGTTTATTTTTTTAAATTAAGATCAAGTTACAGATAAACAATATATTATGAGGTTAATAGAATCCGACATCTCCAAAAATCACAGCTCTTCATATTTACAGAGACAATAAACATTTAACATCACACTCCTATTGCATCCTATCCTCCTTATTGCATATGAACAGGCAGAACGCAGCGGATGAAAGGTTCAGATCATCATAACAGAACATTTTCTCATCAGACCGTATGAGTTATTGCTTAAAATCATCCCAAATCCTTATTTAGTTCTTCAACCAACGTCATCATGTTGCTCTTTGAAAGCAGTCTAAACAAACTTGGAGAAAGCGATTTATTTAATGTCCCTTAGAGTGTTTTTTGCAGGCAAGATTTATATAAAAATGAAAGATGTAGAAAGGGGGGAAATATAATAGTCCAGAGTTATTTTCTACATCATAGTGTTTTTATGCTGCATGTTTTAAAAGGATTGATTGTGTTCAGCCTGTTTTCGTTTCAGCAACTTGTCTACAAACCAATATAAATTACCTTTAAAACATCTGGTCATTAACATATGACGTCATTTACATAACTGCTGTACAAAACCAATGTTATCATTGGGAAATGGACCCAGGAATCCAATTTCCACGAGCTTAGAGTCCACTAAATCTTCTTATCATTAACAGCAAACTTTTGGGAGGTCCAAGGAGACGTTTGAAGGTCGGTTCTTTCTTTCTGTTACCCTGAAAAAGGAAAGTATTCAACAGATATCTGAGCTGCTTAAATCTGAGGCTCTTTACAGCAATTTTACTTCAGGTGATCACAGCAAAACAACAACAATTTATATTTACAGAGCATTCTGTACAGATTGAAACAGATATTCTAGAAACAGCACATTTGGCTCTTTTTGTTCCAGGTGCCCAGGGGTCTGCAACCTTTCATATGCAGAGAGCCATTTCGCCTTGAGTCCAGCTCAGCAAAAATGATTTAGATCCGTAAAATATTTCATGGCTTTTTAATAAATCTACTTATTATTTTTTTTACATCTGTTTCAATCTTAAACCAAATGCAGTTTATTTGTATTTTTAGCTTTTCAAAATAAGGGAAACAAAGCATGAATTTACTCTAGAGGGTATTATTAGGGTATTATTAGATTATTAGATAGCAATTGCTATTACAGTTGACTAGTTAGTTGTTTATATAATTTTTAACCACTATTGAAACCATTGCAGAGGGTCCAAAAAGATGAGCTCCACAGCAAGTTGCAGACCCCTGCAGGTGCCTGTTTGCATCTTCAGCCCATCGGTACATTATCTAGTTCCAAACAGTTTACTCGGTTGTAAAATAGCTTGTACCTGTGGCAATGAAAGGAAATAATGTGCATACACACTGTGCCTTAAACAAGTACTTACACCCTTTGAGCTTTTTAAAGTTATTCAGGTTACAGCTACAAATGGTATGTACCGGTATTTGTTTTCAGCCTTTCTAATTGAGCCACTACAAGCCATCAGGTCTTTACATCCTTTTAAGGTTCCTCAGCTCCCGTCCCATTATCTCTGGCCTGCTTAATTCCAGATTAAGTTAAGCGTTTCTACAGCATGATGCTGCCACCATCATGCCACATACTGGGAATGATTAATTTGCTGTAATCTTCAGTATTCGTTTTCCTCCTCCGGTTTTTCATATGGCTCAGATAATTAATTTTACATTCATTCTACCAGAGCTCCATCTTCATATACTGGCTGTATTCCCAATACATAGTTTGAAAAAAAAAAAAGGTTGTTTTTAAACAGATGTGATCATTTAGAAAATTTCTCTTTTAACTGTTTCTCTTTTTCTCATTTCTAAATAATTTTAATCTTTTCCACAAAATTCCTGCAACATAGAGTATTGTTTGTAGCTGTAACATGACAAAATGTTAAAGAGTACAAGGTATGAATACTTTCATAAGGCACTGCATATTAATGGGAAGTTCATAGTACCTCAACATGATCCAAATGAATCTTAGGAGACATTTCCTACTTTGGGACTTAGATTTATGATGTTTAAGGATGTTTTCATACTATTGATTAAATGAATTTAAACTCCTGTTCATGGCTGAACAGGAGTCTAGTTGAGCTGTTTACAGTTTGTTCAGTGTTTTACTTGTTTTACATAAACATTTATATCCAAAATAACAAAAAGAAGACAACAGATAGGAAAGAACTTCAATCTTTTGCAAATGAAGATTATAAATCAGGATGAAAGCAAAATCATGATTTGATATTATGACAATCTCAGTCCTTCGCTGCAAACCGTTGTATTTTTTTGAGGGCCTCCTGATGTTTTCAGCATCGCACATCCAAAAGGTCACTACCGAAGGCTTGCAATGAGTCCGAGCAGCTTGTATGAACTCAGCTTCGGTGTCAGCATCTCAAGGTTCTGACTCCAGCAGGCTCTTCATCAGGCTTATCTCTGTAAACTGGAGGCCAGCCAAGGAGGACTCTGTTTCTCTCAGCAAGGCAAACTTAATCTCACCTCCAGTTCTTAAAGCTTTATCAGAACAAACAGCAGAGTGTTTGCTCATCAGTTCTGAACAGGTCGTTTTGGACACAAGACTGGTCATGGAAAACGCTATCAGGAACAAAGATACTGGAGGTAAACATCAGACTCTGCACGAAAATGCTTATTTTGGGGTTTCCTCCAAAAAACAGAAACAATAATTCAAAACATGCAAAGAGGAAAGGAAATGATCAGCTGGACATTGCAAAAGCTACTGAGATAATCTATAAAAAAAAGGACTTTAAAAGAGTCTTTTATTACTTCTTTCTAGTCTGCAGAAAAATATTCAACAAATAGTTGCTACTGTTAAATAACTGAGAATAAATAGCTTTGAACTCAACTAAGCAAAACTTTGTTGGTGTCGTTATTTTTATTTTTTCAAGTTCTCTACCTTTCACACATTCAAACCTACAATTATGGTAACAAAAAAAAAAAAGAAATTACACTCTCCTTTACACCCAGGGCTGTATATCAGCATATTATAAAGTTGATCAGAATTAAATCAGATTGAATGATAATCTGCAGTGGCACGGAAAAAGGTTTCAACCCTCACTGAAAATTAAATCTGCTGTTAAAAGACCAAAATATTCAGTTCTTTTTTCCACTACTTCAACAAAACAAGACAATGCAATTGGCTTAAAACAGCTGATTTTACTGATCCACACCCCAAAAGATATTTCACCCAAATCTTAAGATTTATGTGATTTTATTATATAAAAATTATCATTTACTTTTTTTGTTGATCATTTTTACGCAAACCTATTATGTAAACTTTTCATGATGAATATTCATTAGATTAATATATCTATTTTATTTAAAATACATAATTTTCTGGTTTATGTCATTAGAATTAGTTAAGTATACTTACTTAAAATTACTACTAATGAGTGCATTGATTTAAAATACATTATGTTTTATGTTTGAATTGCATAATAATTATGATTATTCAAAAAATCAACTTAATGTAATTAAAATAAATACACTCAATAATCAATATATTTTTAAAAGTACATAGGTATGGTATATATCAAAATTACACCAATCTTATTATTTGGGTGAAATATTCATATAATTGCTAATAAAAAAGATTATATCACTTTAAGTAATGGCTGCATACTCAGAATTTCTCTGCCCCTTCATGACCAGCATGTATTGCTACCACACAGCAGAGCAATTTCTTCTTTTATGATTTGCAGCAAACACACAAAGCAAAGTAGCAAACAGTGTTTTTCTTTCTTCGTCTTGCAGATACACCACCTAATCCATAAGCCCAAGAAGTTCTGGTTGTGATTCAACATATTTACCTTAAGCCAAGACAAGAGACTAATGTGTTTTACAGTGGAAACTAACACTTCCATTCAGTCGAGGGTTTCTGACCACCTGTCTCCTCAGGAATCTGGAGGCAGCTGTCGATGGCCTCCTGTCTCTCCAACATGCAGCTGGAACAGCCCTTAGTCCTCTGACTTTCAATTTGCCATATATCCTTCCAACAGCATTTTAGTCTTTTTTTTAATCCTTAAAAGTTTTTTTTTTTACAGAGCAATGATATATATTTTTTTATTATTAACAATTTTCCTCACTTTCTAATAAACAATGAAACATAGCTGTTATACTGTATCTCACACACACACCTAAGGAAACTAATAAATCACTCTCGGATTTGCAAATGTTTGCATAGGGTTCAAACATTT